GTATGTGTTATGGCTTTACACCCCCTGCTATAATGTGGATAAATAGTTACTTGTCTAACAGAACACAGAGGGTGTTCTTTAATGGAAGCCTCTCAAACATATACCAGGTAGAATCAGGAATTCCCCAGGGCAGCTGTCTAGGCCCCTTGCTTTTTTCCATCTTTACCAACGACATGCCACTGGCTTTGAGTAAAGCCAGTGTGTCTATGTATGCGGTTGACTCAACACTATACACGTCAGCTACTACAGCAACTGAAATAACTGCAACACTTAACAAAGAGCTGCAGTTAGTTTCGGAATGGGTGGCACGGAATAAGTTAGTCCTGAATATTTCCAAAACTAAAAGCATTGTATTTGGGTCAAATCATTCACTAAACCTCAACTACATCTCGTAATGAATAATGTGGAAATTGAGCAAGTTGAGGTGACTAAACTGCTTGGAGTAACCCTGGATTGTAAACTGTCATGGTCAAAGCATATTGATACAACAGTAGCTAAGATGGGGAGAAGTACGTCCATAATTAAGCGCTGCTCTGCCTTCTTAACAACACTATCAACAAGGCAGGTCCTACAGGCCCTAGTTTTGTCGCACCTAGACTACTGTTCAGTAGTGTGGTCAGGTGCCACAAAGAGGGACTTGGGAATATTGCAGTTGGCTCAGAACAGGGCAGCACGGCTGGCCCTTAAAAGTACACGGAGAGCTAACATTAATGACATGCAAGTCAGTCTCTCCTGGCTCAGAGTGGAAGAGAGATTGACTTCATCACTGCTTGTTTTGTAAGAGGTGTCGACAAGCTGAATGTACCGAGCTGTCTGTTTGGAATACTGGCACACAGCTCGGACACCCATGCATACCCCACAAGACATACCACCAGAGGTCTCTTCACAGTCCCCAAGTCCAGAACAGACTATGGGAGGCGCACAGTACTACATAGAGCCATGACTACATGGAACTCTATTCCACATCAGGTAACTGATGCAAGCAGTAGAATCAGATTTAAAAAACAGGTAAAAATACACCTTATGGAACAACGGGGACTGTGAAGAGACACACACAAAGGTACAGACACATGCATACGCCCACATTGTGATATTGTTGTATGATGGTATTATAAATTTTGTATTGTAGATATGTAGTGGTGTAATAATGTTATATGATGTACTGTTTTATATTTTGTTTTATATGTAATGTAAGTGCTTTAATATGTTTGGACCCCAGGAAGAGTAGCTGCTGCCTAATAAATACTCAGCAAAAAAAGAAACGTCCCTTTTTCACGACCCTGTCTTTCAAAGATAATTCGTAAAAATCCAAATAACTTCACAGATCTTCATTGTAAAGGGTTTAAACACTGTTTCCCATGCTTGTTCAATGAACCATAAACAATTAATGAACATGCACCTGTGGAATGGTCGTTAAGACACTAACAGCTTACAGACGGTAGGCAATTAAGGTCACAGTTATGAAAACTTAGGACACTAAAGAGGCCTTTCTACTAACTCTGAAAAACACCAAAAGAAAGATGCCCAGTGTCCCTGCTCATCTGCGTGAACGTGCCTTAGGCATGCTGCAAGGAGGCATGAGGACTGCAGATGTGGTCAGGGCAATGAATTGCAATGTCCGTACTGTGAGACGCCTAAGACAGTGCTACAGGGAGACAGGACGGACAGCTGATCGTCCTCGCAGTGGCAGACCACGTGTAACAACACCTGCACAGGATCGGTACATCCGAACATCACACCTGCGGGACAGGTACAGGATGGCAACAACAACTGCCCGAGTTACACAAGGAACGCACAATCCCTCCATCAGTGCTCAGACTGTCCGCAACAGGCTGAGAGAGGCTGGACTGAGGGCTTGTAGGCCTGTTGTAAGGCAGATCCTCACCGGACATCACTGGCAACAACGTTGTTTTTTTTGTCAGATAGGGCTCAATTCAACCCACTGTAGCCGATTCAGATAGGGCTCAATTCAACCCACTGTAGCCGATTCAGATAGGGCTCAATTCAACCCACTGTAGTCGATTCAGATAGGGCTCAATTCAACACACTGTAGCCGATTCAGATAGGACTCAATTCAACCCACTGTAGCCGATTCAGATAGGGCTCAATTCAACCCACTGTAGCCGATTCAGATAGGGCTCAATTCAACCCACTGTAGCCGATTCAGATAGGGCTCAATTCAACCCACTGTAGTCGATTCAGATAGGGCTCAATTCAACACACTGTAGCCGATTCAGATAGGGCTCAATTCAACACACTGTAGCCGATTCAGATAGGGCTCAATTCAACACACTGTAGCCAATTCAGATAGGGCTCAATTCAACCCACTGTAGCCGATTCAGATAGGGCTCAATTCAACCCACTGTAGCCGATTCAGATAGGGCTCAATTCAACCCACTGTAGTCGATTCAGATAGGGCTCAATTCAACCCACTTTAGCCGATTCAGATAGGGCTCAATTCAACCCACTGTAGTCGATTCAGATAGGGCTCAATTCAACCCACTGTAGTCGATTCAGATAGGGCTCAATTCAACCCACTGTAGTCGATTCAGATAGGGCTCAATTCAACCCACTGTAGCCGATTCAGATAGGGCTCAATTCAACCCACTATAGTCAATTCAGATAGGGCTCAATTCAACCCACTTTAGCCGATTCAGATAGGGCTCAATTCAACCCACTGTAGCCGATTCAGATAGGGCTCAATTCAACCCACTGTAGCCGATTCAGATAGGGCTCAATTCAACCCACTGTAGTCGATTCAGATAGGGCTCAATTCAACCCACTGTAGGCGATTCAGATAGGGCTCAATTCAACCCACTGTAGCCGATTCAGATAGGGCTCAATTCAAACCACTGTAGCCGATTCAGATAGGGCTCAATTCAACACACTGTAGTCGATTCAGATAGGGCTCAATTCAACCCACTTTAGCCGATTCAGATAGGGCTCAATTCAACCCACTGTAGCCGATTCAGATAGGGCTCAATTCAACCCACTGTAGCCGATTCAGATAGGGCTCAATTCAACCCACTGTAGCCGATTCAGATAGGGCTCAATTGATTATTTTTTGCAAATTCAATTTGTTTTCCACGTTTATTCAAAGTCATCACATTAAATTTTTTGGGTTCAAAGACCATGGAAACAACGTTGATTCAACCCGTTTTTGTCCAGTGGGCTGAAATCCAGACCTGTTTTATGACTCCACTCCTTGTTCTCTGTGCCACTGTCAAACAATGGCATGACAAGAACTGGCCAGGGGTGGAATGTTAGCACAAACAGACAGGTACCCAGACCTAGACTAGACCTACAGATATGGGGGGGAGACATGCATATGTACTGTAGATGCAATCCTATGGGATTAACCCATAGGAACTTTAAGGTGTTGGGAAAGGCACTGCTATCCTTTGGACATTGTGTCTCTATTGGTAGACTGGGTGGGTGGAGAGAGCATACATTGGTAGACTGGGTGGGTGGAGAGAGCATACATTGGTAGATTGGGTGGGTGGAGAGAGCATACATTGGTAGACTGGGTGGGTGGAGAGATAGCATACATTGGTAGATTGGGTGGGTGGAGAGAGCATACATTGGTAGATTGGGTAGGTGGAGAGGTACTGTAGCATTCCTGATGATACAGTCTTAACTCCTAGGGGAGTTGGCATGAACCGATAGCACACCGTGCACATGATTCTACAGACTTGACTAAAACACGCCCCCTGTAGTCGTAGGATTGCGTCCCTAATGGCAGGGAGGGCCTGGTCAAAAGTAGTGCACTATTATAAGGGATAAGGGTGCCATTGGGAACGCAGCTATAGAGTGGGTTGGTGAACTGATAGCGTGATTGTACAGTGTTTGCTCCAATACACTCCTGTGTCCATAGGAGGGGAGTAGACAGGACTGAGTAAAGAGACCAATGGTAGGCTATAAAAGGAGGAGGCTTGATGTTTACAACACATTTCTCAGCACAGCGTTGGAGAGGTAAGTTATACCTGAACTACATTTACCTGTGTGTTAACAGTAACACATTCAGACATAACCATCGCTGCACGTGCTGTATTAGATATTTTGTTTAGGGTTTTATGGCTCCTTATCTCAAAAGCTTGTTCTTAAAAAAAAATATATAAAAAAAAAAACAGCCATTTGCATTGGAGCAGTTAATTAATCTCCGTTTTGAGTTTCATTTCACTTGCTCTCTCTCATTAGTGTGCAATTAGCTATTGTGGGCCTCTGTAGCTCAGCTGGTAGAGCACGGCGCTTGTAACGCCAAGGTAGTGGGTTTGATCCCCGGGACCACCCATACACAAAAAATGTATGCACGCATGACTGTAAGTCGCTTTGGATAAAAAGCATCTGCTAAATGGCATATTATTATTATTATAGTCAGTTGTACATTTTGTCTCATGCTTCTCTGATCGGTATTCTTCATTTTTCATGTTGCTTTACAACGTTTCAACGGCTGGATGCTTTATAGTCTTTTACTGTCCTCTATTGCTTGGGTTTGTTTCTCAATATGAGTAATGAAAGCTATTTTTTGTTCAAGATCAAAGTGTATGGTAACGTGATATAAATTATTTTAATTAATCAAAAGTGTTTCTGAATCTGGTGTGGTGGTTAGACCACATATACGCATGGGGACATGGGTTCGTATCCCATGTCATATACCCATGGGGACATGGGTTCGAATCCCATGTCATATACCCATGGGGACATGGGTTCGAATCCCATGTCATATACCCATGGGGACATGGGGTTCGAATCCCGTGTCAGCCCTTCTTCTCTGTCTCCTTCTGTATACGTCTCCCCTCTACGTTCTGACTATCACCGTTCATCAAACAATAAAATACTCAAAAATATACGTTAATTCAAACATAATGCAGTGAGCCGTACGTATGTCTCGCTGCAAAACATAATCCACAAAAAGGGTTCACAAAACATTTTTTCGCAATGTTTACAAATCACTGCCTGTTCCCTTCTCTCAGGTTCACACACGCACGCCAACCAGCAAGATGAAGATAGTGATATTGGCTGTGGCTCTGGCCCTGGTGTTGGCTAGTGGTGGGTCTGTCACTAATTAACTACTGAGTAAACACTGTCTTTTAACCCCTCCCGTACTGTGGTGCTGGGTGAGGCTATGGAACGGTCTCGTATTGTAACATCGATGTGGTCCTAACACAGTGGTGTGTTCTAGGTGTGTTCTAGGTGTGTTCTAGGGTTCCTATAACCTCGCTATAATTCTGTGGTCCTGACACAGTGGTGTTGTCCCCTAGGTGAAGCCCTTGACTGTCTGCGCTGTGTCCCAACTAAGGCGGGACGAGACTGTGAGGTGACAGTAGAAACCTGCCCCCCAGAGAAGGACGGCTGTGCAGCCGCCAAGTTCCTCAGAGCACCGTGTAAGTAATGTTACTGACCAGGTTCAAAACCCGGGTCTTCAGACTATGTTAGCCCGCTGAGCTAAACCCTTACACTTGAAAAATAGTAATGTTGTGATGATGCTACATTACTTGAGAAAACAGCATTGGATGTCATGTCACACTAAGTTCTGTGCCAGTGTTGACAAATCGTCTCAGAGTGGTGCAGTTTTATATCGTAATGAATAAGACTATATGGACTCATCCTACATCAGCACTCCTGCTCTGAGATGCTTTGTGGACCCTGCTAAAAAATAAAAAAGCATAGATCAGCATACGTATCATGCTGGTCTATGCAGTTTTTTTTTCAGAGGGGATGCAGGCCCTGGTTTGAATAACCAAGAATAAAAGGTTTTTAATACAGATTATAGTCAACCGTTAACAGCTATCACATAGTAACATAACATTGTCCTATGTTTTCTCTCTCAGTTGGCCATTTCCAGAGATGCATGGACATGTCGGGCTGTAAGATGTTCCAAACCAACGCTTACATCAACATGAAGTGTTGTGACACTGAGAAGTGCAACACATTCTAGAATCTATATACTGGTTCACATTCTAGAATCTATATACTGGTTCACATTCTAGAATCTATATACTGATTCACATTCTAGAATCGATATACTGGTTCACATTCTAGAATCTATATACTGATTCACATTCTAGAATCTATATACTGGTTCACATTCTAGAATCTATATACTGGTTCATATTCTAGAATCTATATACTGGTTCACATTCTAGAATCTATATACTGGTTCACATTCTAGAATCTATATACTGGTTCACATTCTGGACCAGGGATATTCAAATCCTACCCTGGAGGTCTGGAGTACCATCACATAAACCATCGCAGCATCAACCATCACAACAACCATCGCAACTTAAACCATCACAACATCAACCATCACAACAACCATCACATCAACTATGCTTGATATTTATCAGCAAACGTGAATCATTATTTGACTTGAAATAAACCAAAACCTTGAAACCCTTTGTAGTTAAAAAATCTTTTTTTCAAAATGATTGAATCTGAGCAAAGTGTATCAATCATCATTGTAGGAATGATACAACAAACACTTCTGAAATAAATAATCACTTTCTGCTTTAATGATTACAATCAAAAAACATTTTGTACAACATTAGAAAATGCGATGCAGATATTTTGTCTGACGACAGAAACGGCTATGCAACAAAACAAAACATCTGACTGACAACGACGGGGAGAGATGTAGTAGATAGCTGTGTATTGGAGGGACAGAGGAAACAGCTACGAATGCATCAGAAATGTCTAAAGAGCTAATCCTAACTTCCACATAAATTGAATGTTCACTTTAGTCATGCATTGATGTCAATGGGAGACTGTGAAAATTTGACTTAAGGGAGTTAGGATTCGCCCTTAAGTTTATTGGAAGATTTCCTATAAGTTTTAGTGGGGTATGGATTGACAATGACAACAATGACAGAGCCCAGCTCGCACATAATGTTCTGAGAACCATCCCAGCTAGCACATAACGTTCTGAGAACCATCCCAGCTAGCACATAACGTTCTGAGAACCATCCCAGCTAGCACATAACGTTCTGAGAACCATATGTTTCTTAGAGCTCGGTGAGAGCGTTGTTGTCCTACGGTTATTTTGCATACAACCTTCCCACAACTTTCTGGGTAGTTGCTTGGCTTTGGAACATTCTCAGCACATTTAGGTGAACTTAAAAAACGTAATTGTCTTCCTATTTCATTACTTTTAACAGAATGTTTCCTAAAATGTCAAACATGGTTACATTTCATTTCAATTTTGGTAATGTTCTAGAAACGTTCTCCAACTGGTTTGACATTTTAAAACAGTTCAGAGAACGTTAAGAAACAACGTTCTTCTGTGGGAATTTCAGTACTTCAGCATAACGTTTCCTACAGTTTTCCTCATGGTTTTTATTTAAAGTCATGTTCTCAAATTGTTCCAAAAGGTCCATTAAAAAAATACAGAAAACTTTAGTAACATTCAGAGAATGTTCTAAGAATATTATTTAAAAACATATAAATTCTGTTCTCAGCGTCAACAAAACTCTCTCTATCCTGTATCTTGTTAAGTGTGTTCAGGTGTGTTGGCCGTCCCCACTAATTAACCACACCTGATCTTAATGAGTTCTTGTTTCCTTTGAAATGGGGTCTGTTTGAATAGACTAAAACGAAGAGCTTTGTATGAGTGAAACAAAACATTGCATGCTAGGTCCATGCTGGTGACACAGTGGACTAATTCCATGGATAGAGCTGTGTGAGGACAAAACAATCATTGATTAAATAAACATATAAAAAACTAAATTCAAAGGAAGGGATTGTTTGTCTTCATGACATCTCTAATATGAGAAGATTCAATGTGAAATCAAATTACATGGAATATCTCTGATCTTCCATAGTCACAATTCCACCATAAAGCCAGAATGGACACCTGTGCAGCCCCACGTGAGGAAGCCAGTCATAGTTTCTGATACATACTTTATGAGAAACAGTAGTCTGATCTACCATCCTGATCGCTGTGCTTTTGCAAGATCAGGATAGTCGAACAAGACTACAGAAACAGCCCCTAGTCCCTAAACCCTAGAAGTGCCTTGGGGGGTAAGGGTGTAGGGTCTAGGGGTTATTTCTGGGCAGGGCCTCAGTTTTGCATCAGGGCTGAGCACAGAACAGACGAGAAGTGGATTGTGGGAAATGTACAGTATGACAGCCACTCAACCTTTCATAACAAACAAACAGAAATACTGACAAATAAACTGTTGGTGAGTTGACAGTTGAAGACAGTTGAGAAGTAGTAGTTGAACTGGCAGGAAGCCTTCAAGTAACGGGATATCCCAGTGCAGTGTCCTGTTCTCTGTTTTGATTGATCAGCAGCTCTACATCAAGGAGCAGGAAGTCTTCCCTGGTTGGACGCCTCCTTCCAGCTTCTCGGCCTCCAGGATCATCCTCTTGAACACCTCCACCGCCGTCTGAGACACACACAGAGACACACCGGTTAGAATATAACAACTCCACCGCCGTCGGAAACACACACCGGAAAGAAATAGAACAGACTACTTTACTATCTACTACGACACCACCGTCAGAGAGAGAGAGAGAGAGAGAGAGAGAGAGAGAGCGAGAGAGAGAGAGAGAGAGAGAGAACAGTACTGTAACTTCTCTGGAATGTTCCTTTCAATAGTGTGGAGAGCTGAGCTGCCCCCTGCTGTAGAGTACAGAGTACTGCAATACAGGCCTGTAGACTCCCAAGCTCAGTGCCTGTAGCAGTGTTTTTTAACCCTGGCCCTGGGGACCAAATAGGTGCATATTGTAGTTTTCGCCCTAGTACTACACTCCTGATTCCATTAATCAAAGGTTTGATGAGGAGTTGGTTCGTGGAATCAGGTGTATTAGTGCTACGATCTACGGCAGGGCTGTTCGATGTCGGTCATAGAGGGCAAAAAACACTTCTTCAGGTTTTCATTCTCTCCTTCCAACCAGGGACTAATTCAGACCTGGGAAACCAGGTGATTAACTACCAGGTAGAAACAAGTACCAGAAGTGTTTTGTCCCTCCAGGCCCTGTTCTATGGCATAGACGTGTTCTAGTTGTTTTCACCTGGTTCTCTTTAGCTGAGGATTCCATGAAGGCAGCGTTCCAGGAGTCTGCTAGTGCCTTCCCTTCCTCACAGCTGATCACCCTGGGACACAAAGTAACATCACACCAATCAGACACCCCACACGCGCACACACACACACACACACACACACACACACACACACACACACACACACCAACAGGTTAGAGGATGGCGTCACGGATACCTAGTCAGTTGTACAACTGAATGCATTCAACTGAAATGTGTCTTCCGCATTTAACCCAACCCCTCTGAATCAGAGAGCTTTAGTGTGTGTGTGTGTGTGTGTGTGTGTTTGTGTGTGTGTGTGTGAGTGTGTGTATCTACGTATGTCAGTAAGTAACACACCTTTCCATGTGCAGGTCGTTCTTATTTCCCACCAACATAATAGGTACTCTGTAGAGAAAGACAAAACCACATGTTGTATCCCATGTATCCGAGACAAAACCACATGTTGTATCCCATGTATCCGAGACAAAACCACATGTTGTATCCCATGTATCCGAGACAAAACCACATGTTGTATCCCATGTATCCAAGACAAAACCACATGTTGTATCCCATGTATCCAAGACAAAACCACATGTTGTATCCCATGTATCCAATACAAAACCACATGTTGTATCCCATGTATCAGAGACAAAACCACATGTTGTATCCCATGTATCCAATACAAAACCACATGTTGTATCCCATGTATCCAATACAAAACCACATGTTGTATCCCATGTATCCGAGACAAAACCACATGTTGTATCCCATGTATCCGAGACAAAACCACATGTTGTATCCCATGTATCAGAGACAAAACCACATGTTGTATCCCATGTATCAGAGACAAAACCACATGTTGTATCCCATGTATCCGAGACAAAACCACATGTTGTATCCCATGTATCCAAGACAAAACCACATGTTGTATCCCATGTATCCAAGACAAAACCACATGTTGTATCCCATGTATCAGAGACAAAAACCACATGTTGTATCCCATGTATCAGAGACAAAACCACATGTTGTATCCCATGTATCCAAGACAAAACCACATGTTGTATCCCATGTATCAGAGACAAAACCACATGTTGTATCCCATGTATCCAAGACAAAACCACATGTTGTATCCCATGTATCCAAGACAAAACCACATGTTGTATCCCATGTATCAGAGACAAAACCACATGTTGTATCCCATGTATCAGAGACAAAACCACATGTTGTATCCCATGTATCCAAGACAAAACCACATGTTGTATCCCATGTATCAGAGACAAAACCACATGTTGTATCCCATGTATCCAATACAAAACCACATGTTGTATCCCATGTATCCAATACAAAACCACATGTTGTATCCCATGTATCAGAGACAAAACCACATGTTGTATCCCATGTATCAGAGACAAAACCACATGTTGTATCCCATGTATCCAATACAAAACCACATGTTGTATCCCATGTATCAGAGACAAAACCACATGTTGTATCCCATGTATCAGAGACAAAACCACATGTTGTATCCCATGTATCAGAGACAAAACCACATGTTGTATCCCATGTATCAGAGACAAAACCACATGTTGTATCCCATGTATCAGAGACAAAACCACATGTTGTATCCCATGTATCAGAGACAAAACCACATGTTGTATCCCATGTATCAGAGACAAAACCACATGTTGTATCCCATGTATCCAATACAAAACCACATGTTGTATCCCATGTATCAGAGACAAAACCACATGTTGTATCCCATGTATCAGAGACAAAACCACATGTTGTATCCCATGTATCCAATACAAAACCACATGTTGTATCCCATGTATCAGAAACAAAACCACATGTTGTATCCCATGTATCAGAGACAAAACCACATGTTGTATCCCATGTATCAGAGACAAAACCACATGTTGTATCCCATGTATCAGAGACAAAACCACATGTTGTATCCCATGTATCCAATACAAAACCACATGTTGTATCCCATGTATCAGAGACAAAACCACATGTTGTATCCCATGTATCAGAGACAAAACCACATGTTGTATCCCATGTATCAGAGACAAAACCACATGTTGTATCCCATGTATCCAAGACAAAACCACATGTTGTATCCCATGTATCAGAGACAAAACCACATGTTGTATCCCATGTATCAGAGACAAAACCACATGTTGTATCCCATGTATCAGAGACAAAACCACATGTTGTATCCCATGTATCAGAGACAAAACCACATGTTGTATCCCATGTATCAGAGACAAAACCACATGTTGTATCCCATGTATCAGAGACAAAACCACATGTTGTATCCCATGTATCCAATACAAAACCACATGTTGTATCCCATGTATCAGAGACAAAACCACATGTTGTATCCCATGTATCCAAGACAAAACCACATGTTGTATCCCATGTATCAGAGACAAAACCACATGTTGTATCCCATGTATCCAATACAAAACCACATGTTGTATCCCATGTATCAGAGACAAAACCACATATTGTATCCCATGTATCCAATACAAAACCACATGTTGTATCCCATATTCTCAAATGTTACATAGACACGGTAGATGCACCCTCAGCCTCATCTGCAAAAATCTGAGCCATCCGGTTTTCAGGGGCAAAAATCTGAGCCATCCGGTTTTCAGGGGCAAAAATCTGAGCCATCCGGTTTTCAGGGGCAAAAATCTGAGCCATCCGGTTTTCAGGGGCAAAAATCTGAGCCATCCGGTTTTCAGGGGCAAAAATCTGAGCCATCCGGTTTTCAGGGGCAAAAATCTGAGCCATCCGGTTTTCAGGGGCAAAAATCTGAGCCATCCGGTTTTCAGGGGCAAAAATATGAGCCATCCGGTTTTCAGGGGCAAAAATCTGAGACATCTGGTTTTTAGGGGCAAAAGGAAGAGAGCCTGTGATGCGACTTCCGCTTTTGGACATGTGCCTCGCAGTTTACAGTCCCCGGTGAAACATATAGTGCACGATACTGAATGTTATCAGATCTTCAACCAAAACCTAATATTAGATAAAGGGAACCTCTAGTGAATAAATAACACAACAATTACATACTTATTTCATTTATTTAATAAACAAAGTTACGCAACACCCAATTCCTTTGTGTGAAGAAGTAATTGCCCCCTTACACTCAATAACTGGTTGTGCCACCTTTAGCTGCAATGACTCCAACCAAACGCTTCCTGTAGTTGTTGATCAGTCTCTCACGTCGCTGTGGGTTTTCATGCATGAACTGCTTATTTGACGAGATGGAAACCAAACACTGCATTCCACAGTAAGAACATCATACCAACGGTCAAGCATGGTGGTGGTGGTGTGATGGTTTGGGGATGCTTTGCTGCCTCAGGACCTGGACGACTTGCCTTAATAGAAGGAACCATGAATTCTTCTCTATATCAGATAATTGTACAGGAGAATGTCAGACCATCTGTCTGCGAGCTGAAGCTGAAGCGCAGCTGGGTCATGCAGCAAGACAATGATCCAAAACACACAATCAAGTCTACATTAAAATTGTTAAAAAGCAACACATTTGAAGTTTTGGAATGGCCTAGTCAAAGTCCAGACCTAATCCCAATTGAGATGTTGTGGCAGGACTTGAAACGAGCAGTTCATGCTTGAAAACCCACAAATGTCGCTGAGTTAAAACAGTTCTGCACGAAAGAGTGGGCCAAATGTCCTCCACAGCGATGTGAGAGACTGATTAACAACTACAGGAAGCGTTTGGCTGGAGTCATTGCAGCTAAAGGTGGCACAACCAGTTATTGAGTGTAAGGGGGCAAAAATAGAGAAAGTCAGAAAGTGGGAAAATACTTTTTCGCGGCACTGTATGACTGGAAAACACGGAGCTTTCCAAGCAAGTGCCACAAAGTCGACAAACACCACATACCAATATTGTTGGTGTCAACTTTGTCGCCGATTCCATTAATCGCTAGATAACGCTAGCTGGCTAGCTCTGAAGTTGTTACCATCTGATTATTAACAAGACGATACTCCATCTTAACTCCTACTCCACATTTACTGGATAGGGTGAACCTCCTCGGACAGTTTGTTTCTCTCGTCATGACCAGAATGTGAGGCGTTTAGTTTCAGGCGTTTCTTTTAGGCCTGCTATGTTAGGTTACAGTAGAGGGTTAATATACGTCAGGTTACAGTAGAGGGTTAATATACGTCAGGTTACAGTAGAGACTCACTGAGATTTCCCCACCATATCCAGAAGTTTTTCATGGATAACCTGAACTACTTCAAAACTGGAAGAGAAGAAAAACAACATACTGTTATATATACTGTCACACATACTGTCACATATACTGTCATACATAAATACTGTGACATATACAGTGGGGAAAAAAAGTATTTAGTCAGCCACCAATTATGCAAGTTCTCCCACTTAAAAAGATGAGAGAGGCCTGTAATTTTCATCATAGGTACACGTCAACTATGACAGACAGAATGAGAAAAAAATATCCAGAAAATCACATTGTAGGATTTTTAAAGAATATATTTGCAAATTATGGTGGAAAATAAGTATTTGGTCAATAATAAAAGTTTCTCAATACTTTGTTATCTACCCTTTGTTGGCAATGACACAGGTCAAACGTTTTCTGTAAGTCTTCACAAGGTTTTCACACACTGTTGCTGGTATTTTGGCCCATTCCTCCATGCAGATCTCCTCTAGAGCAGTGATGTTTTGGGGCTGTCGCTGGGCAACACGGACTTTCAACTCCCTCCAAAGATTTTCTATGGGGTTGAGATCTGGAGACTGGCTAGGCCACTCCAGGACCTTGAAATGCTTCTTACGAAGCCACTCCTTCGTTGCCCGGGCAGTGTGTTTGGGATCATTGTCATGCTGAAAGACCCAGCCACGTTTCATCTTCAATGCCCTTGCTGATGGAAGGAGGTTTTCACTCAAAATCTCACGATACATGGCCCCATTCATTCTTTCCTTTACACGGATCAGTCGTCCTGGTCCCTTTGCAGAAAAACAGCCCCAAAGCATGATATTTCCACCCCATGCTTCACAGTAGGTATGGTGTTTTTGGATGCAACTCAGCATTCTTTGTCCTCCAAACACGACGAGTTGAGTTTTTACCAAAAAGTTGTATTTTGGTTTCATCTGACATTCTCCCAATCCTCTTCTGGATCATCCAAATGCACTCTAGCAAACTTCAGACGGGCCTGGACATGTACTGGCTTAAGCAGGGGGACACGTCTGGCACTGCAGGATTTGAGTCCCTGGCAGCGTAGTGTGTTACTGATGGTAGGCTTTGTTACTTTGGTCCCAGCTCTCTGCAGGTCATTCACTAGGTCCCCCTGTGTGGTTCTGGGATTTTTGCTCATCGTTCTTGTGATCATTTTGACCCCACGGGGTGAGATCTTGCGTGGAGCCCCAGATCGAGGGAGATTATCAGTGGTCTTGTATGTCTTCCATTTCCTAATAATTGCTCCCACAGTTGATTTCTTCAAACCAAGCTGCTTACCTATTGCAGATTCAGTCTTACCAGCCTGGTGCAGGTCTACAATTTTGTTTCTGGTGTCCTTTGACAGCTCTTTGGTCTTGGCCATAGTGGAGTTTGGAGTGTGACTGTTTGAGGTTGTGGACAGGTGTCTTTTATACTGATAATAAGTTCAAACAGGTGCCATTAATACAGGTAACGAGTGGAGGACAGAGAAGCCTCTTAAAGAAGAAGTTACAGGTCTGTGAGAGCTAGAAATCTTGCTTGTTTGTAGGTGACCAAATACTTATTTTTCCACCATAATTTGCAAATAAAATCATTAAAAATCCTACAATGTGATTTTCTGGATTTTTCTCCCCTCAATTTGTCTGTCATAGTTGACGTGTACCTATGATGAAAATTACAGGCCTCTCATCTTTTTAAGTGGGAGAACTTGCACAATTGGTGGCTGACTAAATACTTTTTTCCCCCCAACTGTACTGTCACATATACTGTCATACATAAATACTGCCATACATCTGAGCTGATAGAATAGTTCAGCATTTCCAAAACTCTGTCCTGGGAACTGGGGACTTATTAAAATGATAAACTCGTCATCATTCTGTGATTATTTGAATCAGCTGTGTAAAAACCACAACATGCACCCAGGGGGGGGGGGCCGGGACCCAGTCTGTGTAATGCTGGTGTAGTTAATCTGGTCATTGTGGACCGAGGGGGGGGGGGGGCGCAACCCTCCTCTAGAGCTACTGCTGGATGTGCAGGCTTTTGTTCCAGCCCTACTCTAATACACCTGATTCTGCTGCTCATCAGGACCTTGATTAGCTGAATCAGCTTCGAGCAGGGCTGAAGTAAAAAACCTGCACAGTGGTTGACCACCCCTGCTGCAGACAATTTTGCACAATCTAAAATCATTAAAATATAGTAGAGTAAATAGCTGACTAACCTTTTATTGGACGTGACAGAGTAGACCAGGATGTAACCGTTGACATCTATGGAATAGGTCTGAGGAAAGATAGAGTATTCATCCTGGAAAAGAGAGGGTGGGATGGGGAGAGAGAGGGGGGAGGGAGAGAGAGGGGGGGAGGGAGAGAGCGAGAGCGAGAGCGAGAGCGAGAGAGAGAGAGAAAGAGAGAGTGTTACGGATACAGGTATCCTGTGTGTGTTTTTGTGTTTTTCCTCTCCTTCTGCCCTAATCACAGGTGTCCTTTATGTTCCTGATTGGTGGTCGTTGGGGGTGTCCCATCTGTCCGACATCCGTTTGGCTGCTGATTGCTGAGGTGGACCAATCAGTGGACATTCCTCTGTATTGCACCACCTGTTTCTGGTTTCCCACTCACACCTCCCATTGTTTTAAAAGCCAGTCAGTTGTGTTTGTAGAGAGAGACTATTTTCCGTATGTGAGTATGGATACTGTGGTGTCCTGTGTTTTGGGTACTCACTCATTTGCTGGTTACTCTGTTTGGTAACTTTGTTGTGTGTTTCTGGGAAAAGGGGGATTTAAGCAAGTTGCCCTTAGGCCTACATTACCCGTAGGAAGAACATTGTCTAAAAACACTAGTTAGACCTGAGCGGACCACCCACTGTATTTTTGTATGATTAGCAGTAGCTTAGCGGTTCTTGAGGCAGGCAAGATCAGTTTAGTTTTTTTTTACACTACTGTTTCATTTCTTGGGTCCTGCTCAGCCCTTTTTCTCAAACCTTTACCGTGTGTTCATAATAAACATTTTATGTTTGACGGTAGCTTATGGTTTGTCAGTGTATTTTTTTTTGTTCTCACTGTTTCCATGTCACGATTCTAATTTGCATGAATTATGTTATGGGTCTCTTGTCCATCCACCCTAGACGTTTAAAGCCACGGGGTTCGTAACAGAGAGAGAGAGAGAGACTGAGTGAAATAAGTGCTTAGCCTGCATTCTGTAACATAATGGCTCAGTTTCAATGTCCATATTAGTATATCGCTTAGATTCTAGGACTTAGAGCAAAAGAGTAATGCAATCATTCTAATTAGAAGTATGGCGCATTCTAGTGTGGGCATTGGAACATAGCCTGTGTTCTAAAATTCTAATATGATACTACATTATGAGTAGGGCCAGGTCCCCAACCATGAGTCAATGTAGAAATGTAAGATCTTATAAAAACGGTTTGAAGTTGATTTTTAAAATAAGTCCCTGTGGTGTACTCTCCTACCTGACCCGCTGTATCTACCAACTGCAGGTGGTATTCCTGTCCGCTTATCGTGATCATCTTGGTAAATGCTGCAGCAAAAAGGTAGAGAAGATAGGCGTTAAATGGCAGTGACATCTAACAGACGATTACCGTGAACGCTCTCCATTCACATAAAGATTGTCTCTATAGAGTCTAACTCCTGAGGTTATTGACTCCTGTCATACAGCTCGTCTAGACATATGATAAATGGTTTTCAATAAAATATGTCTCTCTAACCAGGTTCCCATCCAACGTTTTTATGGGAGTAAAGTATGTCCGATGAAAAAATGTCATGACAGGCCTGATGGAAATAGAAAAATGTTCGGTGAACTTTCCAAATGTCGACGAAACAAAATATGCTAGACAAGGTGGGCTCTTTTTGTGTCTGTAAAATTAATTATGCGAGAAATGTCAGTGGAAACGCTTTTATGCGCAAATATTGATTTAATAACCATCATATCGAAGTAAGCTTGGAGTCAGACGTGTTGTGTGGTCCTCCCACTACGACTCGTCGAGAAAGACATGCAGTTTATTAGGCTACAGATTAAATAAATGATGATGAACTTCACAGGGTGGTGAAAAGTGCAAGGTGATGAGGGCGGCAGGTAGCTTAGTGGTTAAGAGCCAGTAACCGAAAGGTCGCTGATTCTAATCCCCGAGCCGAACAGGTGAAAAATCTGTCGATGTGCCCTTGAGCAAGGCACTGAACTCCTGATTGCTCCTGTAAATTTCTCTGGATAAGAGCGTCTGCTAAATGACAAAAAAAAATGCTCCTTTCCAATAAATATTGAGGGTATTTTTCTGGTGACATGGTCGTCGATGCTTGGCTGCCGTTTGACAAATAAAAATAATCTCGCTTTTTTTTTCTCCATAATAATCTCATAATGTAGGCTATACACACACTGTATCTGCCATCTGTTGGCTAGAGAACACATGCCAATACCGGAGTGGGCACACTCGCTATGTAACACACTCGCTATGTAACACACTCACTATGTAACACACTCACTATGTAACACACTCGCTATGTAACACACTCGCTATGTAACACACTCGCTATGTAAACACACTCGCTATGTAACACACTCGCTATGTAACACACTCGCTATTAACACACTCGCTATGTAACACACTCACTATGTAACACACTCGCTATGTAACACACTCGCTATGTAACACACTCGCTATGTAACACACTCACTATGTAACACACTCACTATGTAACACACTCACTATGTAACACACTCGCTATGTAACACACTCGCTATGTAACACACTCGCTATGTAACACACTCACTATGTAACACACTCACTATGTAACACACTCGCTATGTAACACACTCGCTATGTAACACACTCGCTATGTAACACACTCGCTATGTAAACACACTCGCTATGTAACACACTCGCTATGTAACACACTCGCTATGTAACACACTCGTTATGTAACACACTCGCTATGTAACACACACTCGCTATGTAACACACTCGTTATGTAACACACTCGCTATGTAACACACTCGCTATGTAACACACTCACTATGTAACACACTCGCTATGTAACACACTCGCTATGTAACACACTCACTATGTAACACACTCGCTATGTAACACACTCGCTATGTAACACACTCACTATGTAACACACTCGCTATGTAACACACTCGCTATGTAACACACTCGCTATGTAACACACTCGCTATGTAACACACTCGCTCGCTATGTAACACACTCGCTATGTAACACACTCGCTATGTAACACACTCACTCGCTATGTAACACACTCGCTATGTAACACACTCGCTATGTAACACACTCGCTATGTAACACACTCACTATGTAACACACTCGCTATGTAACACACTCGCTATGTAACACACTCGCTATGTAACACACTCGCTATGTAACACACTCGCTATGTACACACTCGCTATGTAACACACTCGCTATGTAACACACTCGCTATGTAACACACTCGCTATGTAACACACTCGCTATGTAACACACTCGCTATGTAACACACTCGCTATGTAACACACTCGCTATGTAACACACTCGCTATGTAACACACTCGCTCGCTATGTAACACACTCACTATGTAACACACTCGCTATGTAACACACTCGCTATGTAACACACTCGCTATGTAACACACTCGCTATGTAACACACTGCTATGTAACACACTCGCTATGTAACACACTCGCTCGCTATGTAACACACTCACTATGTAACACACTCACTATGTAACACACTCGCTATGTAACACACTCGCTATGTAACACACTCGCTATGTAAACACACTCGCTATGTAAACACACTCGCTATGTAACACACTCGCTATGTAACACACTCGCTATGTAACACACTCGCTATGTAACACACTCGCTATGTAACACACTCGCTATGTAACACACTCGCTCGCTATGTAACACACTCACTATGTAACACACTCACTATGTAACACACTCGCTATGTAACACACTCGCTATGTAACACACTCGCTATGTAACACACTCGCTCGCTATGTAACACACTCGCTCGCTATGTAACACACTCGCTCGCTATGTAACACACTCACTATGTAACACACTCACTATGTAACACACTCACTAGTAAACACACTCGCTATGTAACACACTCGCTATGTAACACACTCGCTATGTAACCACTCGCTATGTAACACACTCGCTATGTAACACACTCGCTATGTATGTAACACACTCACTATGTAACACACTCACTATGTAACACACTCACTATGTAACACACTCGCTATGTACACACTCGCTATGTAACACACTCGCTATGTAACACACTCGCTATGTAACACACTCGCTATGTAACACACTCACTATGTAACACACTCGCTATGTAACACACTCGCTATGTAACACACTCGCTATGTAACACACTCGCTATGTAACACACTCGCTATGTAACACACTCGCTATGTAACACACTCGCTATGTATGTAACACACTCACTATGTAACACACTCACTATGTAACACACTCACTATGTAACACACTCGCTATGTAACACACTCGCTATGTAACACACTCGCTATGTAACACACTCGCTATGTAACACACTCGCTATGTAACACACTCGCTATGTAACACACTCGCTATGTAACACACTCGCTATGTAACACACTCGCTATGTAACACACTCGCTATGTAACACACTCGCTATGTAACACACTCGCTATGTAACACACTCGCTATGTAACACACTCGCTATGTAACACACTCGTTATGTAACACACTCGTTATGTAACACACTCGCTATGTAACACACTCGCTATGTAACACACTCGCTATGTAACACACTCGCTATGTAACACACTCGCTATGTAACACACATCGCTATGTAACACACTCGCTATGTAACACACTCGCTATGTAACACACTCGCTATGTAACACACTCGCTATGTAACACCTCACTATGTAACACACTCGCTATGTACACCACTCGCTATGTAACACACTCGCTATGTAACACACTCGCTATGTAACACACTCGCTATGTAACACACTCGCTATGTAACACACTCGCTATGTAACACACTCCCTATGTAACACACTCGCTATGTAACACACTCGCTATGTAACACACTCGCTATGTAACACACTCGCTATGTATACACACTCGCTATGTAAACACACTCGCTATGTAACACACTCGCTATGTAACACACATGCCAATACCGGAGTGGGCACACTCACTATGTAACACACTCACTATGTAACACACTCGCTATGTAACACACTCGCTATGTAACACACTCGCTATGTAACACACTCGCTATGTAACACACTCGCTATGTAACACACTCGCTATGTAACACACTCGCTATGTAACACACTCGCTATGTAACACACTCACTATGTAACACACTCGCTATGTAACACACTCACTATGTAACACACTCACTATGTAACACACTCACTATGTAACACACTCACTATGTAACACACTCGCTATGTAACCACTCGCTATGTAACAACCTCCTATGTAACACACTCACTATGTAACACACTCACTATGTAACACACTCACTATGTAACACACTCACTATGTAACACACTCGCTATGTAACACACTCGCTATGTAACACACTCGCTATGTAACACACTCGCTATGTAACACACTCACTATGTAACACACTCGCTATGTAACACACTCGCTATGTAACACACATGCCAATACCGGAGTGGGCACACTCGCTATGTAACACACATGCCAATACCGGAGTGGGCACACTCGCTATGTAACACAATTTTTTTTTGTGGTTGAGAAAACCCATCAGCTGAGTTGAAAATGCGAATTTAACCGCAAAAGGTATTTTTACGTGAACTATGCCTTTTATCTGCCACAAGTCAATTTTATGTGCATAATGTTTTTATGTGGATTTTTGAATATTCGCATGAAAATCTGTCACCAATTGAAAGGAAACCTAGCTGCTGTATCCCATTGAAAAAAACTGCGTTTCTACAGTGCATTCGGAAAGTATTCAGACCCCTTGACTTTTTCCACATTTGTTACGTTACAGCCTTATTCTAAAATTGATTAAAATGTTTTTTCCCCTCATCAATTTACACACAATACCCCCATAATGACAAAACAAAAACAGGTTTTTAGACATTTTTGCAAATGTATTAAAAATAAAAAACTGAAATATCACATTTACATAAGTATTCAGACCCTTTACTCAGTACTTTGTTGAAGCACCTTTTGCAGCGATTACAGCCTCATGTCTTCTTGGGTATGACGCAACAAGCTTGGCAGAGCATTCGGAAAGAATTCAGACCCCACCTGTATTTGGGGAGTTTCTCCCATTCTTCTCTGCAGATCCTCTCAAGCTCTGTCAGGTTGGATGGGGAGCGTCGCTGCACAGCTATTTTCAGGTCTCTCCAGAGATGTTCGATCGGGTTCAAGTCCAGGCTCTGGCTGGGCAACTCAATGACATTCAGAGACTTGTCCCAAAGCCACTCCTGCGTTGTCTTGGCTGTGTGCTTAGGGTCGTTGTCCT